GGCATATCTGTTATTAATTGTTACATGCAGTAGCTTTAGATTTATGTCTAAGTACTTTAATTACCACAATGTTTTTGCACACGACAAAAGTTTTTTTGCTGCATGAACACAACAAGTTAATGCAGCTAAGGTTTACCACTGTGTTCAAATTGCCACAAGTATTACTTCTGGATGCATGAAACTGAGGGTGAAACTGACTGGATGATCTACTTTTTGATTAACTGGACAAACAAATGTCAGATCACTACAGGAGACTCATAAAGTCCTGAAAATCCATACCCTGGCAGTCACAAGATCCTGAAGTATGAAAAAGAAATGAATAAAAACCAGATGGTGTTGTCACTACTTATGTGACAACACAGTGAATTCCACACCACTGATCCCTATTCAGAAAGGAAAACCACTAACAGGGATGTCCATTAAATCAAAGCAAACACATTGGTCTCGCAGATTATTGTTTTTTTATTGCTGTTTTCTTGCATCATGAGTAATGTCCCATACCTCTTAGGATTCATTATAATTTTTTTTGGCCATATTGGGGAACTTTTAGAAGCAGGTGCAAACAGAAACTGTCAGAGGGACCATCAATCAGAGGCATAGGGTCTGATGACACTTCAAGGGCCCGAACATGGCATAGAGGTAAAAGTGCTGGAAAGAGATAGAAGTTCGTAAATCTTCTGAACATAAGTAGAAGAAGGTGGGTGTGTGTTTCTCTGTTTGTGCTGGGCCATTTCAGAGGGCTGGCCCCTTCAGCCTCTCTTTTTGTTTTTTCAACCCTTTCATTAGCAAAAAGGTCACCGGGTCCAGAAACTTTTAGAGAGAAGCCCTGTGAGGAACACGTACATTTCTGCTGCTTCAGCAGAGCTCATGTCCTCCTTTTCTGCAGTGTCAGTTTAACCCCTGCTTCCCCGGAGTGAAGTGCGTTAACACCGCCCCTGGCTTCCGCTGCGACGCCTGCCCGCTGGGTTACGCCGGCCTGCCGGTGGAGGGCGTGGGCATTTTGTTTGCTCAAACCAACAAACAGGTATGAGTTAAACAAGAAGGAAGCAGCACAATTTAACAATCACTTTTTTTTTTTTTTGAGTGATTATTTTTTTCTTGAAAGCAAATCAAAAAGAAAACCTGAAATCGACCTACTGCTTTGTGTGATTTTTTTATTTTATTTATTAAGCTTGCAACATTTGATTTACTTTCTGTTTTCGCACAACTGAAAGTTTCACTCTAAGTTCAAATCTTCAAATCTTCACTTTGTCTCCATCAAACAAACATTAACTGCATTCAAAGTTAAAACTCATCTTCAGAATAAACGAATCTTGTGAATTCTCAAGAGAAATAGCTGACTAAAAGCCGGTTCTGACAAAAGCAGGTAAAGATTAAAAATTAGAAAATGTCTCAAAATGTGGGGGGAAGGGGAAGCTAAGTTGATTTAAGAGGACTTTTCAGTAGGATAAAAAAAGAGAGAAAACAGCATTTTGGATTCACAAGAACAAGATGAGACAAGACTTTAACAATAGAAAACTAAGTATCCTTTTTTCTATTTGTTGTTCATTTTAAAAACAAGTGAACAATGTGTAATCAGGGTAGAACATTGTACAATGCAATGCATTTTTTTTTGTATATACTCGCTAACTACTTGAACAGTATAACACTGACTTGAAATTCTAAAACAATTTCAGCTTTAGCATTAGCTGTCATGTCTTACCCAGTAACAGCATGGGCACAGCGTTTACAATTCATCCACCGTACTTCCTGTCCTTGTTTCTTAATATGCTCTTGAAATACTGCCAGATAAACAATGTAAAAGTAGCACAAGCTTTTGTAACTGAATGCTGCGAGCCAATCCAAAGAGAAATCTTTGCTCTGTCAAGACAACATAAGAACTCTTTCTTTCTTTGTTAGTTTGAAATATGAGTCTCAGAGATTATGTTCTGCACACAGTTAAAGCCCTATTGTTAGCACTCAGATTCACATCTCAGACACTTATTTACCAGACAATGTCTTGCTGTCAGCAACCAGGTAGCACAGGTGAGGTGGATTTCTCTTAGAGGAGAAACAATGTGACATTTTAATATCACAAGATCTCGTGCCATAAGAACTCATTACACACCCGCTTCTCAGTTTGGAAACTTTCAGAAAGGTATTACATTTACAGTCAAACGTCTGATGAGTACTTTCAATTTTAATGTGACCCAACTGAAAACCTAACAATAAAACCCAAAGTTTTATTAATAACATTATAAACCATGTTTTCTGGTTAACAATCTAAAACCCAAAGCAATGTCTGCTGCATATGCATAAATGAACTGAGAGGACAGTGGGTTGTTTTATAATCACATCTACTGTAGCTGAGAGCTGATTTCTTGCATTTTTGGGTACAAAAATAGTGATTTTAGTCTTTCCTGCATTGACTTAAAAACCTCTGACTCACCCATTCATATTTTGCGATACAAAGACTATGATATGATGATTATAAATGCCATCAAAATAGATCCTGAGAAAGTTGTAGTAGTCCATAAAGACACTTAAGATGGCTGAGAAAAAGGCGAGCTGCGAGTGGTGCCTTGAGGAACCCCTTATGCAATCTTTGTTTGGTCAGATTTTAAGTTAAAAACCAACATATTACAAGACAATTAGCCTCTTTCAAATCTGTTTATAAAATTGTTATCATAAATTGAGTCAAATCAGTGTTAAATCATGACCCATTTAACACTTATTCCACAAACCTGTATTTTTTATTTTTTATTTTTGAGGCTTTGAGGTTAAAAGATGTTTAAAAGATGTTCAATCACTAAAAGAGTTTGTAGAAGATATTTGCACACGACGACAAGCAAACTTCTTGTAATTTCATATGATATAAGTTTAAAACATTATGTCTTTATAACACAGAAAAAAAAAACTTGCGTTAGCCATGTGTCAGTTTAAGACTGAACCTCTACCTGATTAGCGCATATTATTCGCAGCTAATGTGACAGTTTCCAGTGTAAGGTCAGACATTCATAAATCAAGTCTTGGACTATCAAGCTGTGTTGTTTTTAATTGAATTTTAAATGCAGCCATAATGTAATATACATGTGGAGTTCAAATATTTACAATATTCTACGTTTTAATTATTAACTCTGTAATTTGTTATTCACCGACTCCACATAGGGGAAGGCTTTTTGCTGTCGGGGACATTTTTAAACAGATTCATTACTGAAACAATGCGTTTTGTAGAATTTGTCACAAAGCCAAACACTGTAATTCATTTTGGACTCATTTGCTCCTTTTCTACCCATTTCAGGTCTGCGATGACATTGATGAATGCAAAGGACCCGACAACGGTGGCTGCACTGCAAACTCAATCTGTCACAACTCTGTGGTAAGAATGCACTCCGGCCAACACACGCGGATCATGCTGGGCGTTTTCTTCTCATTTTGATTTACATTGCTGTTCCAAGTCATTCACAGCTGCCCTGATTCCTCCCACAGGGCTCCTTTTACTGTGGCAGCTGTAAGACTGGGTTCACAGGAGATCAGGTGAGGGGCTGTGAGCCAGAGCTCAGCTGTGGAAACAGCCTGACCAACCCCTGCGACATCAATGCCGAGTGCATTCGAGAAAGAGATGGCTCTATTTCTTGTCAGGTAGGATTTAAAGCCCACATTTCTGCACTCCGGCGTCTGACTCGGTGGTGCTCTTTCTGAAAGGTGTTTCATTTGCTTTCTCAGTGTGGAATTGGCTGGGCGGGCAACGGATACCTGTGCGGGAAAGACACGGACATTGATGGATACCCGGATGAAAAACTCAAGTGCAAGGACGCAAACTGTAGAAAGGTACGCAAAGTGGATGTCTATCGAAGGCGACAGGAAAGAACTCTATCTAACCTTCTTGTCTCTGCAGGATAATTGCATCTTTGTTCCCAACTCTGGTCAAGAGGACGCCGACAGGGATGGCCAGGGAGACGCCTGTGATGACGATGCAGATGGTGACGGTATTCCCAATGAGCAGGTCAGTCAAAATCTGACTGGAAGTTCATCAGCATCCTTTTTTTTTATTCATTAATAAAGTGCCTTGCAAAAGTGTTCTCTTAAACTTTTTGCATTTTGTTACTTTACAACCAGAAACGTCAAAGTCATTTACTAATGTGAAACAGCTCGTAAGTCAAATAAAACAGGGGCACTAATAGGATTTATTCTTATGCGTTAGACATTAGCTCAGGATGGCCAAGTCAAAGTAAAGTTCCAAATCTTTCAAGTGTGTGTGTGTGTTCACAGAAGTCCTCCACCCAGCACTAAGACTGTACTAAGAATGTAAAGAAGACCAAAAATGATAAAGACATACACCATCTGACTTTATAATCCTCATGGCTGTAACCTGCAAAATGTGAAAATTTTCAATTTGGATCAGACGTCCGTGTCTCCTGCAGGACAACTGCCGGTTGAAGCCCAACGTGGATCAGAGGAACAGCGATGCAGACAGCCACGGCGACGCCTGTGACAACTGTCGCGTGGTGAACAACCCCGACCAGCGGGACACTGACGGAGACGGCAAAGGAGATGCCTGCGATGATGACATGGACGGAGACGGTATGGAGAGAAATTACATCACCAACACTGACGTTTGCGTTATATAACCGAACATCACTGAAGGCTCTTAAAGTTATCTGCGCCGTCTTCCATGTTTCCACGTAAATGTTCTTATGTTAACTTATGAAGTAAAAGAAGGAAAAAAAAAAAAAGGAGACAAGCAGATGCGACTGTCCAACATCCCTCCAAATCACATTGTCTCAATGCATCACCGAAGACTACTGTGATGGGATTCATAAGCAAGCAGAGGCGGAAGAGGACTGAAAATGGTGGTGGTGGGGGGGGAGGGAGGTGGAGAAAAATAAGTCAAATCCAATCTCAGGCTGACCCAAGAGCAAAAACATGCTTTGATCATTCACTGGTATGATTACACCTAAAAAAAAAAAAAAACCTGTAGGACAGAAGATAGCTTTTCTTCCTCCACTGCTGTTTGAGCTGCTTGACCTTTCTAGGTTTGTGGTGCAGCTACTGCCTCCATGCGATGAATAAAAATACAATCAGGGCGCAAACTGAATGAACGCGTACAGCAAGTACAACAGTGCCCCCAAGTGGTCAGCGTGCAAAGAACAGGGTGTGAACATTTTAGAACGTGAATTAATTTTAGTCATCTGTCCATTTTTTTTTCTTTGACTCATCAATATGGCTTTCCACCTTAATAACTGCATTAGTGAAATCCGTAAATGATTGTACTTTTGTGCTAAAGCTGATTTTTTTTTTTCTTTTAACATATTTGACAAGAATTCAACTATCCAGTGTGTGTGTGTGTGTGTGTTGTGTGAATAGGTGTGAGAAATTTCCTGGACAACTGCCAGCGTGTCCAGAACAGAGACCAGCTGGACCGGGACGGAGACGGCGTGGGAGACGCTTGCGACAGCTGCCCTGACATCCCCAACCCAAACCAGGTGGAGCAAAGTCACATAGATATAAACCATAGAGCAACTAATTCTTCACACGCACAGACATGCCTGTAATGTCAAGGTCATCTCATAAAAGCAAAGCATATGTTGTTATATTACAGCCTTGCACTTTAATGTATTTTAAAAGTATTTTATGCAATAGACCACCAGAAAGTAATAGTGGAATAAAAATGATATATGAGTTACAACATTTTTATACATTAGTGCATATAAACTGAGCCCCTGTCTCTCAGAAAATCCAGTGCAACCAGTTTATTTCAGACATCAGCCAGTTAGTTATGTATTCCACTAACTGGGTGGAATAACCTCAGTATACAAATACTGATGGAAATATACCCCAAAAGATTTGCAACTATCAATGCTGTCAAAAGTTTTTCCACAACTTATTCCACAAAGGTTAGAATGACTGATACAAATTCATGCCACAATTTGCTTTTTTTTTGTTGTTGTAAAAACATTCTCAAACATGTGAAATCATGCATCATTTCCTGCCACTGCACTGCTACGCACCACTTCATGTTGGTCTGTCTCATTAAGTCCTAACAAATACAATGAAAAGCCGTTGTGTGACGTGTTGAATTAAACCCCTTTCTTTTCCCTTTCAGTCTGACGTTGATAACGACCTGGTTGGAGACTCGTGCGACACAAACCAAGACAGGTAAAAAAACAACAACAAAAAAAACCTGTCAACGTGTGTGTTTCTGTGAGGTTTATTATTGTTAATGCCATGTTTCTGTGTCACTTCCTCTGTAGCGATGGCGATGGTCACCAGGATACCAAGGACAATTGTCCACTAGTGATTAACAGCTCACAGCTGGACACCGACAAAGACGGAGTGGGAGACGAATGTGACGACGACGATGACAATGACGGGATCCCAGATACTCTGCCGCCGGGTCCGGACAACTGCAGGCTGGTGCCCAACCCTGACCAGATCGATGACAACAGTGAGTTTAAGCAGATGAGAGTTATCTGCGCCTCACAGTAAAATTAGTGCAATCACTAAATTGTCCTGGAGTGCTAAAACCCGCATTTCTGTTCAAGGTAAAATTTAACTTGGTGTGCACTTCCCCCGTGAAATGTTGCTGGCTGCCATTTTTTTTTTTTGTTCCTTCCTCTGTGCTCCAGTTTTACACCCACACAGATCAAGCGCTGGCAGCCTCGAGCAGATTAAGCTGCGATTTAGGGGGGGGTAAGAGCACACTTTCTGCGCTTGAAATATTTGCCAATTTCATAAGTCGCTGTGACATTAGTCTCGTTAAATGGTCTTCGAGAGAGGCTGAATGTCTGCTGAAATTAAGTGGGTCGACAATGTTTTGATGGGAAAGTTCAGAAGTGCATCGCAGACAGAAACTTTCAAGATGTTTCACAGGGTCTGATGATGACTTTTTATTTGATTCTCCAGCTGACCCGAGCATTTTAGTTATTGCTTTTCGTTCTTTACCATGTGTTGTTTTTTTTTTTTGTTTGTTTTTTTTTTTTACCAACTTTAGTCTCACAAACAAACACTTTGGGAAGTGCTGAACATTTTTAATTATTTTGGTGTCAGAGCAACTGCATCAACAATGTCTTTTTATTTTTTTTAAATGCATTAATGCCCCTTGAGCTTTTTCATATTTTGTCTCATTAGCGACACAAATTTCAGTGTCTTTTATTTTGACTTTAAAGCAACGATGAACATGAAATAGATCGTAATTGGAGAGCTGGGGGAAACAAGTGATCAGATGACACTCACCAAAAGTTAACTTTTTTGTGAAATACTTTTTGCAGGGCTTTGTATCCTCTGCTCAGTTAAAACCAGTCAAACATGAATAAATTCCCAGAGCAAAGAAAGTAATGGCCAAGCTCACCCTGAGGACGGTGAAGAAGAAGGTTGTGGTCACTTTGGCTTCATTTCCTTCCCCTCTGATGTTCATCAGATGACGGCGTTGGCGATATCTGCGAATCCGACTTTGACCAGGACAAAGTGATTGACCGGATTGACAATTGCCCTGAGAACGCAGAGGTCACCCTGACAGACTTCAGGGCCTACCAGACGGTGGTGCTGGACCCTGAGGGAGATGCCCAGATCGACCCCAACTGGGTTGTCCTCAACCAGGTCAGATCATTGCCTTCTGAGAGTCTTGATGTGGTCTAAGTTAAAGCATGATTATGGTTAGATGTGTTAATTAATATGTGGATATGGAAGGGAATGCCTTGTAGTGAAGGATTTGCAGAATGTTGACAGCTCTATTTTTTTGTGTTCTTTCTTTTACACTTTTGACTTCTTTACTTGAAATGTCATCATCTTTTCTGTCTACAAAAATGGCCCCAAACTCCCTCTGTCTATCAGCTCAGTTACTGGAATATAAACTAGGGATTCAGGAGTTTTGTTATGATCTGGCGATGCCAAACCTAAATTCCAAAAGGAAACACAAACAATTGTTTACTAAAAATCTGAAGATTTGTCATCACTAAGACTAAAAACAATATCTTACTCTATCTTAATATCAACAAAAAAATGACAATCAGAAGAACATTAAGTTTTGGTTAAATCCATAATTAAATCAGACACCAAACATGGTTGTGGAGCAGAGACATTCTGTTATTCTGACAGATTTGGGGAAGTTTTGCTCGATGAAGTGGATAAATATTGTCAAGTCAATTATGCGGGATGCTGACAGAAAAATTAATGCTCAATCTGACACCAGAGGTCGTCTAACAAAAGAGTTTATACGCTCATGCAGATGGGTTTTTCAGTATTTTTCCCTGTGACAGTTTTGTTTGTTTCTGTCTAATTGCACATGATAAATGTCACAAAAGGCTTAAAGAGTTATTGGGTGTCTGTACACTTAATATATATTTTGTATCTGATCTTGGGATTCCTTATAACATTACTGTATATTAAAACGAAGCTCAACTGACCACATAATTCAAAATACATTCAGTTTTATTGCTGAGGTTTTTTTTTTTAATAATATGATTTTAGATAAAATAAAAAAAAAACGTATTATTAAGACATGTAAAACTCCCAAAGTGTCTAATTATCATATGCGCGTTGTTTCTAAACAGGGAATGGAAATAGTTCAGACCATGAACAGTGACCCGGGACTTGCTGTTGGTAGGATGAACACTCCTTAGTCAATGACAAGTCGGCTTTTCTAAACAAACTCCCATCTGAACATGCATGTTCCTGTGTCAGGATACACTGCTTTCAGTGGAGTCGACTTCGAGGGGACTTTCCACGTGAACACAGTTACCGATGACGACTACGCCGGCTTCATCTTTGGCTACCAGGACTCGTCATCCTTCTATGTGGTGATGTGGAAGCAGACCGAGCAGACCTACTGGCAGGCCACCCCTTTCAGAGCCGTGGCCGAGCCAGGCATCCAGCTTAAGGTGAAAGCAGGAGGGACTTTCCATAGCAGCAGTCGGAAATGTGTTTCTTCTGCTTTTATCGTTTTGGGTTTTTTTCTGTGTTTTAGGCTGTAAAGTCCAGGTCGGGCCCTGGGGAACACTTGAGAAACTCGCTGTGGCACACGGGAGACACCAACGACCAGGTGCGTCTGCTGTGGAAGGACCCCAGGAACGTCGGCTGGAAGGATAAAGTTTCCTACCGCTGGTATTTGCAGCACCGTCCACAGATTGGATACATCAGGTACGACGAGCACTTTCTGGTTTTGTGAAAGAAGTCTTTAAAATTTTACTTCTTACTAAGAGATACAAAAGAGTACTCTGCGCATAATAAAGCTCTTTTCATATCCAAGCAGGAGAAGTAAAATGTCATGTTGCAAGTTGTCTGAACAGAAAGCTAAATGGAGCTCTCATGTTGACTTGGATGTCAACATGAGAGGAAATTTTCATCAAACAGAGGAGCGACGGCATTTCCCCTTTTTCTCTTGCTCAGAGTGCGGTTTTACGAGGGAACTCAGCTGGTTGCAGATTCTGGCGTGACCATCGACACGACCATGAGAGGAGGGCGACTCGGCGTGTTCTGCTTCTCACAAGAAAACATCATCTGGTCCAATCTGAAATATCGCTGCAACGGTACAAAAATACACGCACACACTTCTATGTTGTTGCTTTCTGTAAATTTATGTAAAAATACACCATGCAATCTGGAAAAGTATAAAATGATCTCTTAAAAAAATGCAGAAAAAAACACTTATGGGGACTTAATTTAGCTTCCAAACTTTTTTTTTTATGTCCAAATGTATATATTTTTAAATATCTATATGAATTTACATTCAATAAATATATAATTACATATGTACACACAACTTACATTCTTGTCAAGTTGATTAGATTTGTGAGTTATTGACTGAGAAGCTCCAGGTAATTAGCTGTTCATTCAGTAGTAAAAAATAATTAGGCCACTGCTTTTTATATATATATTTCAACGGTATATCACACTTACATGTCAGATTTTATACAGTAGGTAATACAAAATAGCCACACTTAGTACACAATGTACAAAGCTATCTAAGGAAGCCCAGCAGATCCCAATGAGGCGTTAACTTTGAATGGTTGAGCTGCATAGTTTTTTTTTTTTTTCATTTTTTCCATTTTCTACATGGTTTCATAACGAGCGCTAACACTTCACTCATCAGTCTCAGCATACACTTTCCCCGTGACCCGTGTCTGAGAAAGTGTTTCGTCTGATCTTGTTTCAAAAGGACTATTTTCAGCTCCCCTTGTGACTTGTGCTCTCACACTTCCCACAGACACCATCCCAGAGGATTTCCAGGAGTTCAGCGCTCAGCACACCGTTGACTCAATCTAAAGTCAAGGCTTTTAGATGCCTCCAGATCCACAAGGAGGGCGTCTCCGTGTGGGTGCGTCTGTATGCATGTGAGCGTGGTGACTTGTGTGTGTGTGTGTGTGTGTGTGTGTGTGTGTGTGTGTGAGTGTGTGTGTGTGTGTGTGTGTGTGTGTGTGTGTGTGT